TTACAAGTAGAATACGTCCAATCAAATTGGAACTCTGGGTATACTACTCTAACAAGTTCGGGGCTGACTTGCCAAGCAAGAAACAAGACTTTTAGGAGTCCTTTTGGAGCTGAATCTTCTCTAGATCATTCTTCCCTACTTGGAGTGCAAGTCAAGGCACAAGATCCCTTAGTTATTTAGTTTCCTTTTTGCACTATGATTTCTAGATTGTTTAGGATTCTTATTATTATTTTATTACTTAATTAGTTCTCTAGGTAGATTAAGATTAGACATAATTAGGATCTATAAATAGGTGTCTTCCCTCATTATTTTTCATTCCCATAATTGATGAGTTGAATAGAAAAGAACGTTGTGTTCATTCATGTGTTTAAGCAAGGCCCTGAGTGCGTGTTTATCATACAACCGTGTCTAAGAGAAGGCCCTGAGAGTGTCTGTTAGTCACACCTATCGTGTTTGGTCGAAGGCCGTGAGTGCGCAATTATTCACAAGCAATGGGCAAAATCACGATCCCTCATCATTGGTTTAATTGAGAGAATCAATCGTGTTTTTGTCTATTTTATCCTTTTCTTTTTTTGGTTTTTCCCTTCTCTTGGGACCGAAATTTTTCTTCTTTTTCATTCGAATTTTTCCTTGTTTCTTCTTCTTTTTTGTGAGTCATATTATCAAAAAAAAGAAAAAAGAAAAAGAGAGTCGAGTTATTTGCGTGATTGCGCAAGAAAAAAAAAGGAAGATGTCCTTCGTCCCATTAGATGAGTTGGATTGGGAGGATCTTGCAATGTTGGAGGGGATGGAGAGGAGCTTAACCCCGAAGGAGCAAAGTTATTTGGAGGAGTTGTTCGAGCGAAGAGACTTAGAAAAGAAGTACGAGCAACAAATCAAGATCATGGAGGAGATGTTCCGACGTCCAGACGAAGGTCTATGCTTTACTTGCGACAAAAAATTTGTGTCGGGCCATATGTGCATGTCGAAGGATGCATGGGCTAAGAACGACGCAAGACCCTCGAGCAACATACGCCCAACACGGTGGACGAAGAGCGATGCAAGGAGCCAGTCGAGTACAATGAACTTCATACGCTCGACAAGAAAGCTATGGATGAGGGAGTCACGACTGACTTCTTAGGGGCACATATTTGTGACGTATGCACCGATGAGGAGCTCAAGGACGTCGAGGATTCTGAGGTCGAGGTAGTCATGGTCGAAGAGGGCCTTGGCGAAGAGATGCACGTGGAGGTCGAAGTCGACGAGGACCATGAGTACGATACGCACAAGGGTCTTGAGATAGAAGAAGGTTTGTCCGAGATTTGGATGGTCGAGGATGAGTCCTTGAGGACAAGGAGATTCTCAAAGGGGGCGGAAATGATGCGGAAGTGGGTTTCGGACCCCTGTGACAAGAAGGGCCAAGAGCCGAGACGGCCCGAGGAGGCCAAAAAAGGGCCAAAATGACGCATGCATGGCCTAAACGATGGGTAATACCTCGTCTGTGAGGCGCACAAGCACGTGACGAGCGGTGTGAGTCGACGTGAGCACGGGATAGTCGACGAGAGTCTCGTACTAAGAAGCTGGTATGCACGAGAGGAGCTCGTGCATTTACAAGGACACCGCGTGATCAAGCGCGAGGGGGAGTGCACAAATGTGATGCACGAGTGCATAAGGCGAACCGGGTGAGCCGAGGGTCGGCCATAAGGGTCGACTACACAAGGGTCGAGCATGGAAGAGTCGAAGCTTGTAGGTCAAGAGATAGCGCACGACCAAGCACGCGGAAGAGAATGCGGATTGGATGCGCAATCACACAAGTCGGCCAAGGAAGGTCGCACATGGAGGTACGCGAGGGCACGCAAGAAGAAGGTCCATAGGCATTACATTCGGGCGAAAGAAAAGGCAAATTCAAAAAGGGCACGAACACGCGCATTGGCGTAGACGAGCACGGATGAGGCCACGACTCAAAAGGACGTGCCATCGATGGTTTTGGGAT